TTTACTGAGTGTTTTAATCAAATAACATAAACTCAACCCTAGAGATGAAAATCAAACTTCCTAATTGACGAGAACATTGGTACTGTCCACTAAATCAACAAAAATGTATCATATTTAGTGTGGGAAAGTTCTGAGTTCGAATCCCGTGAGAGGACATCATGTATGCGCCTAGCTGATTAGTCCTGTATTAAGACAAAACGGCTGTCCAGTGTTGACAGGTTTTTAATGGTGGTTTAACCTCAATGTATAACACCTTATGATGAAAATTATCATGTACTCACTAGTGACTAGCTTCGTAAGGAAATTAATTCGATTTTTAGTGAGATGTCGTGATAAATAGAGCTCAAGCTTGTCGAGTTTGAAGAAGCTGTCCGCTAAAGACAGTGGATGTGTTAGCGAAATACCGTATCTGGAACTCCAAGCAACTTTCAACCAAAACCAAAATCAGAATTTTCAATACAAATGTGAATACAGTTCTACTGTATGGCGCGGAAACTTGGAGAACTACGAAAACCATCATCCAGAAGATTCAAGTATTTATGAACGAACAGTTGTCTACGCAAAATACTTCGGATTCGTTGACCAGACACCATCAGCAACAACATACTGTTGGAGAGAAACAAACCAGATTACTTCAGTGGAGGAGGAAATCAGGAAGAAGTGGTGGAAGTGGATAGGACACACCTAACTGCATCACAAGACAAGCCCTCACCTGGAACCCTCAAAATGAAAAGAAAAGAGGAAGGCCAAGAAGCACATTACTTTGAGAAATGAAGATAGAAATGAAACGAATGAACAAAAATTCGACAGAACTTGAAAGGGAAACCAGGACAGAGTTGGTTGAAGAAAACTGGTTGGTGGCCTATGCTCCATTAGGGGTAACAGGCGTAAGTAAGTAAGTAAGTAAAAATAAGCCAGGCATACGGTAAGCAAAGTAAATGACATATACTTACGAGTGAATTGTAACTCTGACAGGATGGATTAGTTAATTTGTCCCGAAAGCTTGGCACAAACCCTGACAGCTCAACAGAACACTAAATACACTACAATTTATCCAATTCAAGTGTTAGATGATTTGTTTCCCTGCGTTATTTTCGACTGGCACGACATCAGATCAATAAGTGTTTGAATGATTTCATGCCACAACACTAAACAGACATGTTTATTTCAACGTATTCTCTTTTTCTTTCTGTTTCATTTTTCTTCTTCTACCTACTCATCCAAAATACATCAGGGTACTTCAGGTGCTGCAGATGTTATAGCATTTGGATTAGATGCAGCGAATAAAATGGCATCGGAAGAAGTTGTCGATGATAAAGATCAAGTACCATTGGAGGCTAGGTGATTTATAGTGATTTTATTTTTACTATTATTATTATTATTATTACCATTATTTACGTTATAATTGGGGTTTTGCACACAGTGCTACTACTACTACTATCACTAACACTACTACTACTACTACAACTACTACTACTACTGTGGTGTGAGCTACTTATAAGTAGTATATGACGTGAGTGTCAACGTAAAGTCTGGCAGCAGAAGATGGGGGAAGATCAAGAAAGGAAGAGTTAGAAAACAATGAAATTTGTATGAAACGCATGAATAGTGACAATGGATTGATGTTTTTCAACAGGAACAGTCTAGTTCGATATGATGAACTGTTATTTTGCAAATTAACGATTTACGATATGTTTTTCCAATTTTACTGAGTAACTCTGTAATTTTCGTTCAGTAGACGAGTTTATACTACCTCTGGATTCGATACTCACTACAGAGAATAGGAACACGTTGAACTCAATACAAAGAACTAAAACAATGAATCAGAATATAGGCAATAGACAGTATTATTTTATTCTATAACCAGTAGTTACTTTTGGCGAGTTCAGAGTGAAAATCAATAAGAGTAAATGAGGATTTTTGTGTGCTGTTACGGTTATGAGGGCAGATGTCACTTTTCGGCTGCCCAAATCGTGGAAAGGTGTTTCATGACGAACTTAGAAAGGAAATCAAGTCAGTGATGGTATTAGCGACCTGTGAGCGTGGCCATAGAGACTGAGCGACAACTACCTGAGGCTAGTCATATGCGGCCTTTTTATAGAATGTTTTTTGAAGTGTTAGCTTCATTCTTTAGACGGCGTTATCGCCGGATATGGAATTCCATGGAGTAAGGTCAGGTGTGATATTTTGAGGCTCGGGCTTTTCTAACCCCTTCTTTCTATGTGAGAAGGCAGCATCAAAACAGATGCTGGTTGTCCGACAGACACCTCTCTACATTCAGTAGTCCGACTTCACTCTCAGACCTGAAATTGCTGCTTTTAGCCTAACCGTAATTCAAGCTACCTGCCTGCAACGGTAGGTCATAAAGGAACAAATGTTCTAGACAATATAGCTCGGTTGGGCCATCACGACACGCAAGCCTGACGACCACATCAAGGTAGCAGCTACGTTTGGGAAGTGGAAATCAAACCACATATTAAATGGTTAGTAGGTTGTGTCTATTTGTCCTTGCTCGATGACCAGTCACATTTTTTTTCACTTCTGTATATTGGTTTATTTAACAGTAATTTGCATAAGCGTGGTGTGTACTACTTACAACGAAACTTATACGTAGTATGCACTTGGATGTGAAGTAGCGTCACCCCCCAAAAAAGGTACTACTGAAGTGAGAGGTTTCTGTTACGGAATTATCGTACCAAAGTGTACTTGCAGTCTTCACAGGTGGTGGATTTGATCATGTATCACCGAGACCTTACAGTCATCGATGATACTATTGAGTTATCCGATTCACGACTGACCTCCTGTACGACTAAAATGTACTTGCAATTCAATCGATCACTGGGTATTGACCAATGCCATAAGTATCAACTCCTTCTTAACACTGATCGAAGTACAGATGAACCTTACTGACTAGTGTTAAACAGCACCAAAACCTACGTGCAAGGTTTTCTGTCCACTACATCCAATCACCCCTCATCAAGTCACCTCCTTGTTGATGAGCCCATTTCATTGTGTATTGATTTTTTATTTGTTTTATTTCTGGTAGGATTGAATCAATCATTGAAGAATTTCTTAGTGATTTACATCCGGATTATACAAATTATACAGATGAAGTGAATATGTTATGCGAAATTATTAATGATTATTCAAATCTAGTCTCAGTATTTGATATGGAAGAAGATTCTGATTTAGATGGTTATGTAATTTCATCATTGCTTGCTAGTGGTAAGTGATAATTGATTGATTGATTGATTTGTTCTTCTAATTATTGTGGTCATTGTATATACATTTACTGTGAACTCGGTGGTATTTTTAAGCAGAGTTTTGGAGGTTTAAGGTTTTTTGCACATTTGAAATCATCCAATCAACCTGGAAGCACCGAAGGTGACGGGTTCGAATCCTGCGAGGTTCAGGAGTCGTGGATGCGTACTGCCTCTGATGAGTAGCCCCATACCACGACGAGACGGCCGTGTTGCACTGCTTCCAGGTTTCTAATGGTGGTGGTCTAACAATGATTGGTTGATGATTTCAAACTGTGTATTTTCCTAGAGTTATTAATACTTACGCTTGTTACCGCTCCAAATGGAGTATAGGCCATCAGCCAGCTTTCTCCGACCTACTCTATCCTGAGGCCTTCCTATTTAGTTCTTTTCAGAATGTTGATCTTCCTCATTTCCTTCGGCCTTCAGGATTCCAGGTGAAGGTTTGTCTTGTCAAGCGATTGGGTGATTTCTTTAATGTATGTCCTTCCTCTTCCTTCCGCTTCTTGATTTCTTCCTCGACAGGAAGATAGTTTGTTCTATCCAACAGTAGGTTGTTGCTGATCGTGTCTGGTCAAAAAATCTAAAGTATTTTGCGTAGACAACTATCAATAAATACTTGCAGCTTGTGAATGATTTTTGAAGTTCTCTGAAATTCCGCTCCATTCAGTAGAACTGTCTTGACATTTTTTTGAAAATCCTGACTTTGGTGTTTGTCAGTAGTTGTCTTGAGTTCCAGACGTTCTTCAATTGTAGAAATGCTACCCCTCGTTCCTTTAACATCTGCATCAGATCCAACTTGCTCGTCAATGATGCTTCTCAGATGTAATGGTCCCTACATCTCCCAAAGCTGCACCGTCAAGTGTGATTTGGTTAGTGCATGTTGTGTTATATCTGAGAATCTCACTATTCCCTCTGTGTATGTTTAAACCGACTGCTGCTGAGGCTGCTGATACAATGGTCGTCTTCTCCTGAATTTGTTGTTGCGAGTGTGATAGAAGAGTTAAATCATCTGAGAAGTCCAGATCATGAAGCTCCATCCTGGCAGTCCACTGTATGCCGTGCTTCCTTTCAGATGTGTTGGGGATGTTAGATCCTCAGAACTCGCTTGATAAATGCCTTATTTTGGATTTCACGTTTGCGAGCATGGGTTGATCAGTTGACCTTGAGATTACATTTCCCACCAGGAAAATATTCGGCTGCGATTGGCTGCTGTGTATTTTAGTGTGCTATTTTTGTGACTCTCCAAAGGATGTTTTTATGATGTATAAATAAATGAGAGTTGTGTGCTTGATTGTACTGTGATTGCTGAGTGTTTGTAGAATATACTTTCTACGCTTACAAAGCCTTCAGTTTACAGCTTGGGATTCAAGGTAGCCTATCTGGACGCTGGTAATTGTCTCGTTCGCGTTTATCGACTCAGGTGAACTCGTAATACCTTCAAGCGTACCTAGTGACGAACATATCAAGATGTTGACGTGTTCATTATCCAATCGATCACAAGGAGAAAGAGAAACGGTGAGAATAAGCAACCTTTCCTAACACCGGTCTTCACTTCAAACTAGTTAGAATAAGTTAGTTTTTCAAGATTTCATTTTGAATTCAGTTCAATTCAAATCATCGAACTGTGCTTGACTTGAGTTCTTTTACATAATACATTGGTCTAAACATTGTCCAATGGCTGTTAAGTTCCATCATGGAAAATTTACATCACTCTCATCACATATTAATCATTTCACGTGAATCGGACATAGGAACTAGATAAGAAAGATGATTACGTATACACAAAAACACACGCACGCACGCTTGATGTGTTATTATACGGTTGGGGAGAGATTGATGAGTTTCGTTGAAGCCATAAATTGATCGATGGTAAGTCAGTATTAGAAACTTCCGATGGGGACCACACATTTGATCGATGCTTAGATTAGCTTGTCATGTAAGCTCGAATATACTGCTTTTAACCTTAAAATCATTTATGAATCATTGTTAGACCAGGATTACAAACGTGGAAGAGGAAATGGACGGCCATTTTGTCCTACAGCATGGAATTCATCAGCGGCGTGCATTCATCCTGCTACTCTCATAGGATTCCAAACCACAACCTTTGACCAGGCACGTGGCCGCTTAATCTCTGTACCATTAGGCCGGTGGCATCATCCCAGTGTGTTCATGTCTAACTTTGATCAACCTAAGGATTTCTTTTTTTCCGCCGTCCATCAATTAGAAAAACAATTTACAAATTCACAAAACCTAAATGTCTCATTTAAAAATAATGCAAACGTGACATTTTTAATTTGATTTCATTAAAACAAACGAAAACAGAAATTGAAAATTGAATTGACTCACTTAATAGTTTTACAACTTTAGAAATGATAATGAAACACTTGAGTTGTACATTAAAAAATATTATTATTCATTAGTCTATTGACTAAATTGTGTTTGTTTCAAAAAAACCGAATAAAAAGAAACTTACTTACTTACCTACGCCTGCTACCCCCAATGGAGCATAGGCCACAGACCAGTATTCGCCAACCAACTGTCCTGGGCTTCCCTCTCCAGTTCTGTCCAATGTTTGTTCATTCCTCTCATATCTTTCTCTATTTCTCGACGTAATGTATTCCTTGGTCTTCCTCTTTTCCTTTCGCCTTGAGAGTTCCATGTGACGGCTTGTCTTGTGACGCAGTTCGGTGCTTTTCGTAGTGTGTGCTCTATCCATTTCCACCGCTTCTTCCTGATCTCCTCCTCCACTGGAATCTGATTTGTTCTCTCCCATAACACGTTGTTGCTGATCATGTTTGGCCAACGAATCCGAAGTATTTTGCGTAGACAACTGTTATTAAACACTTATATTTTCTGGATGATGGCTTTGGTAGTTCTCCAAGTTTCCGCTCCATACAGTCGAACTGTCTTGACATTTGTATTGAAAATCCTGATTTTGGTTTTTGTTGAAAGTTGTTTGGAGTTCCAGATATTTTTCAATTGTAGAAATGCAGCCCTTGCTTTGACAATCCGCGCCCTCACATCTGCATCGGATCCACCTTTCTCGTCGAATGATGCTGCCCAGATATGTAAAGGTGTTAACGTCACCCAAGGCATCTCCATCAAGAGTGATTTGGTTGGTGCATGTTGTTTTGCATCGGAGAATTTCGCTTTTCCCTTTATGTATGTTGAGACCTACTGCTGCAGAGTCTGATGCTACACTAGTCGTCTTCTCTTGCATTTGTTGTTGCGTGTGCAATAGAAGAGCCAGGTCATCTGCGAAGTCCAGATCGTCCAGGTGCGTCCTAACTGTCCAGTTGATACCGTGCTTCCCTCCAGATGTCGACGTCTTCATAATCCAGTCGATCACCAGGCGAAAGAGAAAGAAGGGTGAGAGTAAGCAACCTTGCCTGACACCGGTCCTAATAAAAAGAAACGGTTCGCATATATATATATATATATATATATATATAATCATAGTTTAATTAGGGCATTTGCCCAATTGACTGTAATTAATTCAACGGGATCAATGTTCATCCTTCACACACACACACACACACACACACACACACACTATACATCATTACGTTTTCATTACTTTTCGCAAATAAATTATGATAAATTATGCCGTTTTTTTTAATGACGGTAATTATTGAAATTCTCACGAATTATAATAATAGTAATAATAATAAGCCTTTTGTTTAAACAAACTGGTGAAGATTGATCAACAATGTTCAATGTACAACTTGTTAATGTTGATGTATTGATTGTAAGGTGTATACTTTTGATCAAAGAAAATAGATAAAAAGGCAATGAGGAATATGATTGATGAGATATTTATATATACATTTATTGAACCTAATTTAATGCACACACACAAATTCGTTCCGTTTAAATGAGGAGCGTTTTTTTATTACCAAAAATAAAAACAAATTTGCATTTTTCTGCACTTTTTTTAGTAATACTAACTTTGTCAAAGTCAAACTTTTCGGTACATATTCATGTGTATTCATGTGTTGTAGTACAACTATGACGTAATTTAAGGTTGCTTTCAGTATTTTACTAAAAATGTATTTGTTGAAATACCATATCGAGAAACATATCTTCACGTTTCAATGAAACAATTGCGCTGATTTACGTTAGACTACTACTACTATTATTAAATGGCCGTACGCACTGAAAGGCTGTTTTATTTTCTAGTATGGAACTCATCAGAAGTGCTCGTCCATGACCTCCACACGCAAGAATCTAACCTAGAACCTAGAACACTTAACCTCCATACCACTGAGCCGGTATTTATCTCTGATTAATCGTACAGCCTTGTTGGGTGTTGGCAAGTTACCCAGCGAACACAATTAGTGAGGTCATGTAATACTGTGAATAGATTGAAGTTAGACATTAACACTATTCGATACTGGCGTAGTGATCCAGAGGTTAGGCATTTGTACGCGAGACCGGAGGTTCTAAGTCCGATTCCTGCTTCCGGAGGTCGTGGTTACGTATCGATTTGTTCACTGAGGATCTTGAAGCCTTTATTAATCATTTGATTTGTAATCAGGATCTTACAACTCCTGTGACTTGGAATTTAATTGTTGACTGACGTTAATAAGATGTATAACTAGGAAGATGGTATTGTTCACAAAATGATATAAGTGAAGAAATATTGAACACAAACGATCGATTTACATCTCTATTATCAAGTAATCAAGTGGTCAATCACTGGTTTCCCAGTTCCATTCAAAAATCTTAAATTAACTATTGTTTTAAAGTTATAACTACCGAACACTAAAGAGCCTCAAATTAAGATAGAACATTTGTTCAGTGAACGTCAGTCTTAAAAAATATCTTATATACACAAGCTATAAATAAATAATAGGCAATTATTTTGTCTGAAACGGTTGTGGAGATTGTCGAGTTGCTTCATGAAATCATTGTTAGACCAGCATTAGAAATCTGGAAGCACTGAAAGACGGCCGTTTCATCCTGGCATC